AAAAAAAAAAGGGGAAAAAAAAAAACAAAAAAAAAAAAAAAAAAAAAAAAAAAAAACACACACACTCAAAAGATTCGTGTGCATCTTTTATGCATAAAGTGCTTTGTTTTATCTTTAAAAGGCCAAGATCTCCAAGATTGTTTTGATAACCAAGAATCAAAATTGGCTCTTGAAATATTGGATCCTACATTTTATAAAATCTATTTGGTAGGTTTGTAGAGTAGAATATATACATGAAATAGCAGGCAGAGACAAGCTTTTATGATAATCTTTTGAATTATAGAAAGTTAATATCTTTTTGTGATCTTTTATATAAATTAAAAAAATTTCTGAGGTGGATAAGCACCGTGGATCATTTCCTTCTCTGCTGCGGGCTAAGCTTATGTCACTTCCCAACATGCTCAACGTGTTACTATTTTTTTTTTTTTTGGTGTTTTTTTTTTTCTCATACGCATAATATTCAATATTGTCGTATTATTCACTTTAATTAGAAAGTGAAAGCAATCTCTCTAAGCCATATCTAGTTGTCTGGCCTGCTCTACATTTTTTTTGTTGTCCATTTTCTTTTTTTATAGAATTCTTGTAAATAAATTCAAGGATTAATTTGATTAGTGCTTATAAACTTTGAAGTCATTTGTACTTTATTTTTTAAATTTTAAAAACTCTCATTTTAAATTTTAAATGCCTCATTTAAACTCTTTTGTAAGAATTTTTTTTTTTTTTAAAGATCAAAACGGAAAAATAAGGATTTAGTATGGAAATGTGGTTTTTATCTATTTATTTTTAATAGAAATTCAAACACAAAGACCACATAATTGAATTACTCTTTTTTCTATTTGTTTTTAACATAAATTACAATAAAATGGATTAAGTGGGAACAATTGAAATACAAAAGACAAAGTAAGAATTTTTAAAGTTCAGGGGTAAACTGAAAATGACACTAAAATTTAAGGACATCAGTGATAATAATCTTAAATTCAATGAATATAACTAGGATAGTTTAATAGTTTATAGTGCTAATTATAAATCATATATCTTATTCTCCATAGAATAAAGCACTCTTTGAGACAGTGGAGTTAAGGCCAATTCTAGGGCTGACAATCCGGGTATCGACACGACGACACGATTTGAAACCCACACGAAGTTAGCGGGTTGGGGTTTACTATAAATGTGTTTGAGTCATAATTGGGTTTACACGATTAATAAATTGGTTGGGTTAGGGTTGACCTCCTAACACGAAGTGACACGAATTGACATTGTTAACTATATGTATCATCTGTAATATAATTATATGTGATATAACATGAAAGTTTATATGACATATTAAATACAAATAACGTGAATTTTAATGTTTGTAGGTAAAGTTCATTTATTTTTTTTAAAGGCAAATATAAATTGACCAATAAACATATTAAACATGTCTTAACCGTGTTAAATAAGTCATTATTACATTAATTACTCATTTAATATATTAATTTAAACTTGTTATACGGGTTGACAAGATTAATAAATGAGTCGTGTTTTGGTTGACATTTTTGACACGTTTAATAAACAAGTTGTGTTTAGGTTGATGTTTTCTAACACGATTAATAAATGGGTTAACACAAATATGACTCACTAACACGAATTGCCACCCTTAGCCGGTTCTCTAGTTTAATACTTCAATTTGGCATTCACTCTTTGGATCTGCTGCTTTGGCAAAAAAGAGTTTTATCTTTGTTAAGAACTGTTTTCACTACAATAAGCTAGTGAAATGATAATACTAACCGCTAAAAAATTATTGACGTGAAAATTCGTCCACTGAAGTAATTCGGATTTAGAAGGGGTTAACGTGATTTTAATGACTTAATCTTGCTTTGAGAAGATTTTTTAAAGTTAATCAAAGAGAAAGAACACCAAAATTTATAGTGGTTCACTTTTTTTGTTCAGTCCACTGTGAGGAGGGAAAGATCTTTACTATCATCTTAGAATACAAGTTACAGAATGAGCCCCCTGGCTCACCATTTTTCCACGTATATATTTTCTCTATCCTCACTCAATCTCTGTCATTTCCATCATTACATTCTATCACATTGTCTCCATATTTTTGGATGTAGTCCTCGGTGGGTGGAGTTTATGCCAGTCAATAGTGGTCTTTCACCTGCTTCCCTACCAACCTTGCTTACTTACAAGTCACGTAAGATATTCTGTAGGTTCAGTCTTTCCTCGGGCTGCGTTCAATCAGCTCCTCGGGCGCTTATCAAGCCATTTTCGCCTATGTCTACCTGGTGCGGTCGACTTCTTACTTGTCATGACGCCTCCGTACGGTCGACTTCTTGCCTATCTTGACTACTATGTACGGTCGACTTCTATAGAAATGTATGATATTTTATGCTGAGCTGTCAATGTCACTTAATACCTTCAGTTGTGTCACGTGGCATTCATCCAACATATGATGTAGGGTTTTTGATTTTACACTACAATATTTACCCCCAAGTCGAGGCTTTCCTGTGGATTGCCTCAAGCTCAAATTTTGCCGAATCCATGCTTTTAATTCTTTTTTGGTTTACTTCCTGATGAGGGAGCTTAGCCTGGCGCTTCTAGGCAATAATTACTCTGACATTGAGGAGGCTTCTCGAGAAGAACAATGGCCGTGTCAATAAAGCTCATCATATCTGCCAACCTATCTTTTGTTTTGAACGGGTGAATCTAGACCGTCGAATCACGTCTCTTCGGTTTCCCGCTTTTGTTCGCACCGTTCGATCGCGACTCTTCGCTTCTGCCGTTGGATTTGTGATGATTTCATCCAATGACTGGGGTTGAGGGCACTTTCCTTTTATAAAAGAGACTCTTCGTCTGGTTTTATTCACCTAATTGCAAAAATCCGTCGTCACTCTACCAAATTTTCCCCATAACTTCCCATTTCTTTTTCTCACGGTACCTTGCGAGGATTTCTTCTACAAAACTTCAGATTTCACTTCTTTCAGGCCTTGCGGTGAGTTTATCTTCATAACCTTTCCTCTGGTTTTCTATTTTTATGCATTATACCAAAGTTCCTAGTTTCCCTGTACCGGTTTTTGTTGATTTCTGCGTGAATATAGTTAGGAATAGGTGTTTTGGAACTAGAAAACTTATTTTCTGCATTATTTGGACATCTTTGGGCTAGTTTTCTGGGTTTTTAACCAACGCGAATAGTTTTGAGTTTTTGGGTTCTGGATGTTTGGCTAGGAAACCTGGGTTGTTTTAAACCTTCGTCATTTCATTTGAACACTCGACCTTTAAGTTGTTATGAACATTCGGCGTCTTGATGAGTACTCAGTGTCATGTAATTCATAGGCATTAAGTATCTTCATGTAGTCTTCTTTAGAAGTCTTCTGTTTATTTCCCCCTTCCTCTCTCGACTTAATTATAGGATTTTAACTCAGCTCTTTTTTTTTTTTTTTTATCATCATAACATTGACTCCCAAACAACTTAGTCGTCGAGAGGGTCCTTCTTCCTCATCCATTGTGAGGCCAGATCCAACCTCAACCGCCGAGCCCTCTTGGTCTTCCTCCTCAGTAGACGTCGACTCCATTCTGAGGGAGATAGATGAATATGCGGCCAACGTTAGGGAAGATGCTGATAGCATCTACCACTTGATTGAAGGCGACGACGACGAAGAGGTCGTGGTAGATAGTGAGGCGGTCGACCCCTCAGTGTACGCGGATAATTACACATGAGGGAGAGTCTGTGGCGTCTCCGCTTCCCTCACGAATGTTCCTCTGGCCACCATGAGCGGTGACCCAAATAGGCCTTTCTTAACCGCTGATTTCACAGCGCCGAAGACTCGCAACAGGGACATTCTTCTAGCGTACAAGAACGGGTGTATAGTGGGAGATCGTTCAAATACCTTCTCCCATACGTTAACTTTAGGGCTAGCCTTCCCCTTCCTGAGTATCTCTCCGTATATACCCGGGCTTTTACCGTAGGGATGACTCTTCCTCTTCATCCTTTTGTAAAGGATTTTTGCCATTTACATGGAATCTCCCTCACCCAGTTGGCACCAAATTTTTAGTACTGCTTAGCCGGTATGTGGGTTTTATGGTATCAGCAATTTGACTTGGAGCTACTGCTTGATGAGTTTTTGTATGTACATAAACTATGCCACATCGCCAAAAGCGAAGGCTGGTATTTTTTAAGTAATCATGGGCGGTCTAAGCCCATTTTAGGAATGTTAATAAGGGGAATTCCCTCGTCATCTCACGCCTGGAAACTAATGTTTTTAATTGTTAAGGGTTGTTTTAACCTCTACCCCGCTGACCGCAGGCCTAGGCGTCGAGCTTAACAGAAATTATTAAGGGTTATTTTAATCTCCTTTTTTTATATGTTTTTAATATAATTTATAACAGAAGAAATTAAGTAGAAATAATTCAAAATTTAAGGAGTAAAATGAGAATTTTTAAAGTTTAAAAAGCAAACTGAAAAATAAACCTAAAATTCAAGCATGAGAAATAATAATCCTTATAATAACAAATAAATCTGCAAATATAATAGTACTAAAGCCAAAAGATATATATATATATATATATATGTGTGTGTGTGTGTGTGTGTGTATATATATAAAGCTAAAAGATAATTGCATGCTTGATATATGGTATTTTAACAATAATACCAACTATAAAGTTTGGCCTTTTCATGCAGATAACATTAGCACTAGTTGAATATTACTTAAAAATTACGCCACCAAAGTTTATTTTCAACCGTCCAAAACAAACATTAGTAGCCATCAAGATCATCTATGGTCCATAGATATCCAAACCAATAAGATAAACCAATGGCCGTGCATGCATATGCCACCACCTTCAATCATGCCCACGTAAATTTCCACAATTACCCTCCTAGAATTATCATTATTCCCACATTTACCCCTCACTTTAGCCCACTATAAAATGCACAAAGTACCTCATCACCACTATATTTTCCCCACCATAATATAATTTTTTCGCCATTTGTACATCAATGGGTTCTCTCCCACATATAGTGGAAGACTGCATGGGGGTCCTCCAACTCTACAGCGACGGCACCGTCTACCGCCGCCACCAAATCGACTTCCCCTTTCCAGTCGTCGACGACTCCTCTGTCGCTTTCAAAGACTTCGTTTTTGACAAAAAACTCGACCTCTCCCTCCGTTTGTATAAACCCAAATTCGCTAACTCCGCACCCAAGAAGCTCCCCGTCGTGTTCTATTTTCACGGCGGGGGCTTCTGCGTCGGTCCCCGCCTATGGCCCAACTGTCATAGCTGCTGCCTCCGGCTCTCCTCGGGCCTCGAGGCAGTCGTCGTATCGCCCGACTACCGCCTGGCCCCCGAGCACAAGCTCCCCGCCGCCATCGACGATGCTGTGAGGGCGGTGGAGTGGCTGGCGGAGGACAATTCTTGCTGTGATGCATGGTTGGGTCATGACGCGGTTTACTTGGACCGGGTTTTTGTGTTGGGAGACTCTTCGGGCGGGAACATGGCTCACCATTTGGCGGTTCGAGTTGGCTCCGGTTTGGTGAAGACCGGGCCGGTTCGGGTTCGGGGTTTTGTGATGCTTGCACCATTCTTTGGGGGAGTGGTGAGGACCAAGTCTGAAGATGGCCCTTCTGAGGCTTTGTTGAATTTGGAAATACTTGACAGGTACGTCAATTTGGAACCTTTCACGTTGTTCTTGTTTTGTTTTTTTGCATGCCAAATTATTCGGTTAAATTAATATCATAATATTTACCTTTGCTTTTTTTTTTTTTTTTTTTGTTAAGGGAAATCAGTATTGTACTTTTACATTTTATTCAAATTTATTCTCTATTTTTACACCTTTCACATGGCAAAATGATTATTTATGTCTTTTTTCCTCGTTCTTAAAATTCTAGTATAAGGTTTTTCTCCAGAATTATGTATTTTATATCACATTAGGACATAAGTTTAATATTTTAGAATAGAGGATACGTGAGAAGGAATTAAGAAATTGGTTGGAGGTGTGCTGGAAGAATATCATAATATATCAACTTTAAAGTATAATTATAGATCTTTAGTTTTATGCTACATTTGTTCAGCTAATGATTAATTATAATAAGTCCATCAATGCGATCTTTCAGAAGAAAAATTAATCAAAATTGTAATTTTCTAAGATAAATTTTTAGAGATTAGCTCAAAAAATATAATATGTATTATAGGCTATAGATCGATCAGTCAATAAGCGAGTTTGTTTGGTTACTTCGTGGCTAAAAAATTAGCGAATAACTTGAATAATATAATTTAAGATATTGACTGTATTTTTTTTTTTGTTTTTTTTGTTTTTTTTGCCGCTTAAACGACTTGAAAACATACATACGTTCATATATGATTCCTGCAGTCTTAATTTATTGTTATCAGCAATATCACAATATATTTTTTCAAGTCACCAGATTCATATTTGTTAGAGCAAAGATATGATATATAATGACTTTCATGTACACGTTAGCATATGTCCAGTTATTTGAGAAATAACAAATATTTGTCCTATGGAAAAACACGACGAAAAGAACAGAAATAATTATTTTAAAATGAATCATTGAATCAAAGATTGGACTGCAGTATGTTAAAGTATACGGCCAACCTCCTAAGAGCTTAAGCTTTTGGGATATAGATTAGTAAATTAACATGGTATCAGAGTGAGAGGTCCTGAATTTAAACCCCCATAATTGCACTCTTTATCTCCATTTAAAATTATCATCATGTGTTAGGTCTTTAATATATCTCGGACTTAAATATTCACGTGTTAGGGTTTCTAATTAATTTACCCACACGATTGCCCATTGTCCAACCCACACGTGAGGGGGAATGTTAAAGTATAAAATTATTGTTGGCCCACCTCCTAACAGCTTAAACTTTTGAGATGAATTGGTAAACTAATACAGTAATATATATATATATATATATATATATATATATAGTCATGAATCTCATTACACATTTCCTGAGTCAAATCAATTTATTTGTCTATTTTTTTCAATTGGAAAGTGAGAAAACTTTGAAGGAAAAAGATTGACAGTGCTATTTCACAATTATTACAAAATAATAATAATAATAAAATAAAATAAATAAAGAAGAAGAAGAAGTAGTAGTAGTAGTGGTGGCACTTTGTGCGTGTGACCTCATGACACGTGAAATATCCATCAAAACCACTTTACGAGTCATGATCACATATCCACTAAATTAACCGATATTTTTTTTTCTTACCAAAAAAAATAATGAATATAGTTCCATATAGATATGTTCGTTGTACATACGATTAAACTTGTGAAAAAAAAAAAACACAAAAAAAAAAAGAAATATACTGTGATATAGTACAATATATAATTAGTCGGAAAATTTAGTAGTTTTGCATTATAGTGTGAGCCCCTGCTAATTACATATAAAATTTTACTTTGCAAAAACTTTATTTTTAAAAATAAATATAACATATCATGATGATATATATATATTACTTATAATTAGTGGATTTTCTCTTATTCATTATACAAATATCAAACTGTTTCCGAGTAAATATATTACTTAGTCGTGGTTAATCATCAATCATTACCCACATTACCAAACTTCTTAAACACACAAACATGCATATATAATGATGTTGAATTGGTAAGATGAATCCTCTGATAGCAAAAAAGATTTGGAGTTGTAGTAAAGCAAGATTTGCATTATATATGTTTGAGTAAAAAAAGAAATTAAGAACCTAATAGAATGAAAATTTGACTAAGACCACTTTCTCAAGTAAATCCAAATTAAGGTTTTCGGTTACTCAATCAATCATATTTGACCACCACAAATGTCGCCGTCTGAAAATCAAAAAAAAGATTTCAGAATCTGACCAAGCTACAAGACAAAAATATTTGCAATTTACAATAGAGATTTCCTTTATTGAATCGTATGTAGCCTTATCTATCTATAGAAAGAATATTAATAAAATTATCCATAAATATTATTATTTTAATAATAAAATATTAATATGACAGTTTAAATATTAATTAAATTAAATTTTTATCAAGTTACGTTATTAAACTTCTATATTTAAAATAATCACATGAAATCAACCGTAAAAACACGTACAATATGTATTACATACATAATGATACCAATTTATTTTTCTTTTCATATAATTATAGCGTTGAATAGTAGTCTCGTGGACTGCCGCCACTAGAAGACATAGGAAGCAAGAAAATTAGATGAACAAACCATTGGTAAGCCCGTAAGAGTGGTAATCTGATTTTTTTCTCTTTTTATTTTTTCTTGTAGATCATTATCTTTGTCTTCACATGTCTATCCATGAGATATTAATTTATAGGTGTCTTGTCATGTGAATAATGAATCTATAAAAAATGGGGACGTGACCCATTTTCAAAATCTCAATTATAATCCCAAAGGCCAAAAACTTAAAATACATGTCAAGCACATGGAAATAAACACTTGGCATATGTCGTAGTGGAGACATACAAATTAAGCCAATATGATTCTAAACTAGCAAATAATTTCTTAGTATTTTTGGAAAGTGGCACTAGTTTTATGTTTAAAACTTATAAATGTCATCCAAATGTTCAATATATCGGCAAACCCCATCCTTTAATTTGTGTATTACTAATAATAATTAGCAGCCGTCAAGTATATTACTATTTTAATTAATTGCCGTTGACGTTGTGTTGCATGCGCAGGACAGTAGAGAAATTGTCAAGAAAAAAAAATTCCAAGTTACACCAATAAATAGGCGTGTTAGATAAAATACTATTTATGATACTAAGCTATTTACTAAAATTTACCTTAAATAATAATAGTTAATTACGTTAAATAATAATAGTCATTAAAACTATTTCTCATTAAGAAAATCATATTAAGTGATAAATATCTCTTCCAAGTCTTAACTAGCTTATAAAAGAACCACATAACATGGATATGATCAAAATTTTCTTTGTCAATATGCATATGCCATTATCTCTACCCCCATTATATATATAGGAAAGTGATTTGTCATAATCATTAAAATCCTTGACTAAGAGAAAACCAATAATATTTCTGAGAACCTTAATCAAAGCTACCATACTAATATGACACATTTTTCCTCATATTCTTTTCATTTTCACACAGGTTTTGGAGGCTTTCAATGCCTGAAGGAGAAACAAGAGACCACCCATTGGTTAACCCATTTGGACCAAACAGTCCTAACCTTGAAAAAGTGGCATTTGATCCAATCTTAGTGATTGTGGGTGGCAATGAGATGTTGAAAGATAGAGCGGAGAACTATGCAAAGAGATTGAAAGAGATGGGAAAGAAAATTGATTATGTTGAGTTTGAGGGTAAAGAACATGGGTTTTTCACAAACGATCCTTATTCAGAGATTTCATTCCAAGTATTGCAAGTTATAAAATGGTTTATGCTTGAAAACTCCAACTGAGAGAAGACCATAAGTAACATTTTGGGTTCAACTTCTCATCTATGGAATTTCTAGTAGTTTTTCATCCCTTTTGATCATGATCATTTGTTAGACATATTGTCATATGTGAGCCTTTTAGACATATATAGAAGTTTGTAGTTTGTATGTAGGAATAAGTTTCATGTTTTCACTTGATGTTGGAAGATTTAGCTGTATGTAGTGTTTCTATATTTTTATTGTTATTTATTCTAGTTCACTAAATTTAGTTTTGTTTTGTTATTAGTTTATTATCTATCTTGGTGAATATTTTGTTATCTTTTTGTGTGTGAGCTATAAATGGTCGCATTAGCTATTGTAATAGTTAAACTTGATTATTGACATAATGTTGCTAAAGTTGAACTCTCTCTCCAATTTGGAGGTTCTTCCCTTTATGAGTTATGTTTAGGTGGACTTGAAACTCTATGGGCCCGTCTATTTCATATACTCAAATTTAAATAATTGATTATACTAAAATGTTTTCCTCTTATAAAAAGTTTGAATTTCAAACGTCAGAATCAAGAATCACAATTTGAGTATACCTTCTAAATGGGCGTAAGTCCCATCCTCCATTTGGATTAGCTAGCTAGATTGATCATAAATTCTATCATCCCAATACCACTACATCATCACTTGTGATATTACTTAGGATAAGTAGTAGTAGTTAGACTTGATTATCGACATATTGATTATCAAAGTTGAGCTACCTCTTCAATTTAGAGTTTTCCCTTCTTATGGGTTATGTTTAGTTGGATTTGGAACTCTATAAGTCTCATTCTTCGTTTAAGTTAAGCCGATAAAAAGAATGGTTAGCGTCACTTTTTTTATCACAATCTTTGTAACTTTTTGCATTCATGTTTGACAAGTGGAGTCTGTTGTCTTATATTCTATTTAAATAATAATATATCTTGTCAGTAAATTTCACGTATCAAATAGTAAATATAAAAAGTGACAAAAATAGTGAAAATAGAGATGCTAGCATTTCTTGGCGGATAAATTCTATCATCTCAATTCTGCTGCATCAGCACTTCATCATTCATGATATTACGATGATAATTTGCAGTACATTAATTTGCTCCCAAGTGCATGCATTAATAATGATCATATATATAGTGCCTGAAATACGTGGATTAATCTTGAAAAGGGTTCGTTAATTAATTAATCCAACAAATTTCAGCACTTTTATACCTTTCCCACATTCAGTGTACTTTCTTTAATTATAAATTATAACATACATGCAATTCAGCAATAATCTGTCTTTTTCTTGCAAAAACGTTTCAAAAGTGGCAATTTATGTTCCGGATTTCAGGGAATTATGCTTGTAATTCAGAACCCTAAAGCAGTTGTCTATTATAAGAATTGTCTGAGTTTTACTGATCATCAATTCATGGTGGGCCAAACTAATTTGTTCATGCACTTTTCAAGTGCACCAGAAATCAAAGCACTAACTGCTACCATACGAGAGTTCATAAGAAGACAAGAAAAAGAATAAAAAAATGAGTACAATCTCAATGTAAAAACAACATTCACCTGCTGCTGTAAAATACCATTATAATGATATAAATAAGTAGAAGGTATAATCCATACTCAAAATGGCCCTTTCACTCTCAGTGGTCTCTTTTCCCAAAAAAAAAAAAAAAAAAAAAAAAAAAAAGAGTTCCTTTATGTACCACGAGAATTAGGATTCGGATCTAATTTTTAGTGTCTAACCAATTATATTATCTCATATATCATCTCATGATAAGTATAAAAGAATTAGTTAAAAAATTGTTTAAATTTTGTACACAACATGACATGATATGATTAGTTAAATACTAATTAAGACACCAAAACTGAGGAGAAGATCGAGTATAGAGAATTAGAGCAAACTAAAAAAGAGTAAATACATTTGTAAAAGATGTCGACATATGTAGCATAGTATAATTAAGCAGCACACAACTCGACAAGAAAAGGTGAAGAGCACAATATGATGAAAACTCGTTAGCAAACAAAAAGGGTGAAGGGCAAAAGCTAGTGGTAGAAATGATAAGGACAAAAGCTTCTGAATCAATTTATGGGTGTTAAATTAGTAGTGATGAGAATTTTGAACATTTCAAACTCTTCTCCTCCTTTAGACACCAAATCCATGACAAGATATTTGCCTTCTAAATGCAGTGGAATATACTAGTAGCTATAGCATGAAATATAGATTGGTCATGAATCATCATATACAAAATATTATTGTGTCTGGTTCGGAATTAAAATTGATTTTTATGGATAGCTTTTGACGTGGCGTATATCCATTTTGGCTTGCAAATGATTAATTTGTGACCAAATTGCAATTAAACTCCAAAAGTGAAATTATTGGTCTCCAACTTGAGAAAAGTGAGTTTGACCAATTCTTTTTCTATCTTGTGGGGAAAATGGCATTGTCAATTACAAAAATAAAAATAAATAAATAAATAAATAATATGTGAAATAATTTCTGCTTATAATTAATTCTTTCCTAATATATTTCCAAAATCAATAACTTTAACTCTAACTCAAATAGTAGATGTTCAATAATTATAAATATGTTATATCTTTTTGTTGAAAGATCTGAAGGATAAATTTTGTAAGTCCAATTATGACTAGCCTTTTAAGAGATTTGGTGGGTCCAAACTCATCAACTCATGACTTGGATTTTAGCTGAAGAATTTGAATTTAATAATGTATTCACTGACCGGGGCATTATATACTGTCCCTTATAAAATATTATATAAATTAATTAAAAAAAACATTATCCTTATAAGTTTTCCCCTATTATTTTTCAGTGACGAAATCAACAGAGCATTATAGAAGATCAGTATCAGCCATATATAAAGCCAAAAAGAAAAAGGGGGATTATAAGGCTTCAATTGCGTGTAATGGTTCATTGAATTATCACAAAATTTCCTCAAATTTAGACTTTTTTTTTTTTTTTTTCTAGAAATGTGATCACTTTTTGAGAACATTAATCATATTTCTCTCAGTTTTTCTCTATTAATTATCTTTTCCTGGTCCACCAAAATGCCTCATTACATGGGATGAATCTCCTTAAAAAGTAATGAAGTTTCTCAATTTGTGATATATCTTTTGGGCGATTATGACACTAGAATTTTAGTGCATGTCTTAGTGTGTCCACTATATATATTATCTGTTTGACTGAAATTTCAATTATTAAGCCCACGTGGACTAATAATAAGAAGCAGGTTGAGAAAGATAAGTTCAACCAATTGTGGGATTAAATTGTAACAAATTAAGTGGGAAGCATAATAGATTTTAGGGAGCGGTGTTAGGATTGTTTCCGAAATTATAGATAGTTTTTTTAAAGGGATTATTTTGAGTATAAAAAAAAGATAAAAAAAATACATTTAATTATGTAACTTTAAAAAATGAAAGAGAAAATGAAAAAAAAAAAAAAAAAAACAACAACAACTCTGTAGTTTTTCATTTCCTTAACAAAATATGAAAACGGTTTTTATTTTTCATTTTTGTTTTAAGTAAAAAAAAAGAAAAAAGAACGAAAACAAAATGCCATTAACTTGAGGGAAAACGTTTTCAAAAAGGAAAAAACCAGAAATACCACTCAAAATGATAAAAAAAAATATCATTATTTATGAGACTCTACTAAAAAAAAATTATTATTCAATTAATAAATAGAAAATAAAAGGTCATAAAGTCACCCAGTTATTTAGAATGGTATAAGTAATATGCACGAATAAAACGATAACAACCCATATATTTTTGTCCTTTCGTTTCTGAAAATGCTACCAAACAGGCCAAGTTTTTTTTAGCACATATATAAAAGTGAGAATGTAATAAATAGTAGATTTTAAAACTATTTAAAATAAATAACAGTTTGTATGGTAAATAAATGCTACCAAACGACTAATAAAAAGATTTTTTCGGTATAATAAAGATTTTTTACCAAGTAAATTATTTTTGACCAGCTATAAATGAATTATTTACTATGTAAACTACTATTTATTTTAAATAATTTTGAAATCTACTATTAACTTAATTTAATTTTAAAAATCTGTTATTTACTACAATTTCCCTATATTATAAAACAAGACTTTCAAGTCCATAGACATGCAAATTGAGAGCTTAAAATTGCAAAACTCTAAACTTTCTTAACATCTTGATCTTCCTATACTACAAAGTAATGCTCCCTTGGTTGGATTAAAACGAAATTTGGACCATCTTGTTTGTAGTTCTTGGCACTCATAGTACAGAAGACTCATATGCCATGAACCATGTTGGTGAAAAGGTGGAGAGTCGTAAGCCATCTCTGTGGGCTCGGGTCCAACAGCTTTATGATTAGCTACATCGATAGAGGATTATAGCCCATCATTAGGTCCATATATTAGAGATGCATTGGGCCAGTCCAACATCTTTTTCAGAATCCATACATTTTGAAAGCGACCTCTTTCGTTGACAAAATGAAAGAATTTACAATTGAGAGTGAATGAGTCTAAATTTATCATATATTTTTTATAAATATTTTTTTATTAATGTAATTATTTGACTAAAAAATTATAAATTAAAAATAAAAGATAAAAATTATGACTCGTACACTTTTAAAAATGTATTTGTTAAAATTACCTTGTGCAATGATGATTTAAAGAATAAAAATGTGCAAGCAAGACAAAAGTTAATATTTTTACCCACCAAAGCATTTCAATTTTCTTTTGAACTTTGATATCATTGTGCCAGAGGCCCACTTGGGGAATTAAATTGGGAAAAAGGTCCCAACTTCTGAAGGTTCAAGGAAAGTTATTGAAAAGTTATCATCACTATTTTCTAATAATTTTTGTATTTATTGTTTGACACATTAATTTTATTATTTTATTATTTATTTAAATAATAATATATTATGTTAATAAAATTTATGTATTAAATAATAATTATAGAGAATAATAAAGAAAGAGACTGAAAAAATGATGATAAAATTTATCGTCTGTGATGTTCACTATAAATATCTTGAGGTGAGAACAATTCCAACCGTCATAATCAGAAATGGGGACTGTGTCCTCACTTTACAACCAAAAGCATTATTCATTCTCTCTCTCTCTCTCTCTCTCGGTTCGGTGGATTGGAAAGTAATGCAATTGATTAAAGGATTTAAAAAGCTGCATTGCACCTGTCCATGTCAATCTACTAGACCAAAACCAAACATTCCAATGCAAAGGCAACAAGGAAAAGAGCCAAACTAACAGATAAGGTTTAGTTATAGAAACCACAAAATTTTGATGGAAAATAAAGTTTTTTTTTTTTTTTTTTTTTCAGCTTTTGGTGTTGTGGCAAGGATTGCAAAGTTGGTCCGGTATGTCAGCTTCATTTACCTACCTTAAACTCAACTGCTAATTTTCATAAAATAATAATAATAATAATAATAATAATAATAATAAGATACGATAACTCTGCTGCTAATGATAAAAGGACTGGCTTGTCCACATTGTGTATATCTTATTACTGCTTTAAGATCTTATTATAAAAAGAAAACGAAAAGTCTTCTTTCTGGTCTATACATTACATTATACAAAACTGATTCAGTACAACGTCATCTATCCATTTATAATACAATTCTATCATTTCTTTTTTTCGATTTTAAAATTTAAAAAAAAAAAAAAAAAAAAAGGTAATTGGGTTACTGGTCTTATAACGACTGAGAAACTATACACTCACAGTAAGCAGTGTAAAAGATCTAGCAAGAGGTAAGGTTAATGAAAAAGTACTTCAGCTTCATATTGTCCAACTTTAACTCAGCGGATGCGGCTCAAATGAGCAAATGGCTCAGGACTTTCTGTTTCTGGTCGTTTAGCAGCTTCTGTCGTCCCAAACACATTCCAAAATCGCAATGTCTCATCCCCGGCAGCCGACACCACGGTTCTTCCATCCGGGCTCTGAAGAGAGAGAGTTAGCAAAACTATTAGAAGATCAAAAGGCCAAGAAAATATTTTTCTAATAGAACAATGTGTATAAGAATTGCCTAAAAACATGCTAACCATGAACATGATAGGAACCAAGTTTGTACCTGAGCCATGAAGAGGACTCTTGATGTGTGTCCACTAAGCTCAGCCATCTTCACCATAGAAGGGTACTTCCAAAGGATAAGCTGATTTTGATCGAAACCATGGGAACTAAGCAACTCCCGCTCGAGCTTGTTCCATTGCAAGGCACACACTTGTGATCCGGTATTAACCGAGTTCAAGCACATCCCAGTATTTGTGTTCCAGAACTTTATGCACTGATCACCCCCACCTCCACCAGAAGCCAGCAAATTCCCCTGAAATGGGCACCAAGCCAGGGCCCTCACCGCAGCGTTGTGGTCCTCGAGCCTGTGAAGCCACTGCATTGGCGAATTCGAGGAGGCTGTGGACCTGTCCCATATGAAGACAAGATTGTCGTTTCCTCCACTAGCTAATTGTTGACCTGAAGCCGACCATTTCAGTCCACAAACCTCCAATTGGTGACCCCGGTAAGTTTCCACAATGTGTGATCTTACCCTCACATCATTATTAATGATTCTGCCTTCACTTCCTCCTGTTGTGAGAATGTGACTGTTCCAGGCCAATGCTCCTACTCTCGCCCGGTGGCCGCCTCTCAATGTTCTAAGCTGCAAACCCACAAAAGCAAATATCAGCAACTTTGTTTCCACAAATGACAAAGAAAAACTTTCAAATTATAGAAAATAGCAGCAAACCTGTCTGCTGGAAACACAATCCCAAAGCTGAACATGGGAATTGTTCAATCCTACAGCAATATGCCGTCCATCAACAGCCCAGCTCACGCTAGTTACTGGACCGTCTTCTTCATCCAATGTGACGAGCTCCGAGGTCGTGCCATCCGAAGCATTCCAGAGGAAGACTGTGTTTTCTAGTGCAATGGCAAGCACATTATTACTGCCCCAATCTAGCAGATTCAAGTAAAAATCATCAATGATGTCCGGAGCATCCAATGTCCTCTCAGAGCTCTGAAAAATCAATCAAAACAAATTAACAAACACTGATTATTCTATATGCCCAAAGAAACAAAACACAAAAATACCACTTATTTTGTCCAGTAAATTAGACCTGAGGAATGACTCGTTGGGGCTTGTTTGGCTTGGACTGTTCCTTAAGTGGAGAAAACATAGAATAGGGAATTGGTTCCACTGGAATTGGGGGCTTATTCTTGAATGTCAAGATTCGGGTCCGGTTCATATTGAAAGCCTCGGTGAGCCTCTTTTGATAGGCCTCACTTGATGCAGAAGGACTTGTCGTCGAATTCTCCTTGCCCTTCTTCCCTCCCAATAACATGTAATGCGCATAATCAAGATCCAAAGCCGCGCGATTCGGAATGAATCTGTCCAACTTTTGGAAGTATAAGAAGAAATTTGAATCAGAAAAACATCAGTACAATAGAAATTAAAAGCAACGTCAACTGTTCAAATAAAATGTGCTAAAAGAAAACATGTAAAAACTTTTCTTGATTACGCAGATGACACGATGAGCTGATTAAGTTTTGAAAACGTATCAAACAGCACAAAGAACTCTTTTTAATCTTTCTTTGTTCTTATATTTCATCGGAAAACCCTAAATTTGTTTAACTTTTTAAGATAAAAAAAAAAAAAAAAAAAAAAAAAAAAAAAAAAAAAAAAGGTCCAAGACACAGAAAAGATCTGTTAGGGTTCCATATAAATTCAAGAAAATTTTTAAAAAAAAATTGAAAAATTATAGTTCCACAAACCACTGAACGAGCTGATTAGAATTTCAAACTTAAAAAAAAAAACAACTCAAAGAATGTTTTGTTATTTTCTCCTTTTTCCTCAATTTTCTTTGAAAAACCCTAAATCTAACGAAATCTTGAAAAATTACAAAAATTGAGGAAAATTAAACAAAAACGGCATCAAAATTAAAAAAAAAAAAATTCACTTACGTTCTCCGAAGATTTCTTTCTCGGAATAAACTGATCTTGACGTGGTATGCGAGATCTGAACTTGCCAGAGGAATCCATAACACCACACACAGAGAAAACTCTCTGACAGAAACAAAAAAAAATAAAAGATTAAACCTGGAAAAAAAAACGAACGAAAATTGAAACAAATACAAAAGAAATTTTATTCAAACAGTAATAGAGAGATCAAAGATTGAAATTTTGATCGATTTTGATGAATTCAGATCGCAGAAAGCTGAACAGCGGAGATGAGATTTTCCGATCTTGTGAGGAAGAGAGATTTTTCTTCGTTTCTTTTTCTTGTGTAATTGCTTGAGATCGTTAAAGAACGAGGCTCGTATAGGAAGGAGATATTTGAAGGTTTTTTTTTTCCTTGGTTGTGAAGGAAAGGGTTTTCCAACGGCTACTTTTGTTTTGACAATCTCGACGGATACGCTGAAATACTTCTGACCAAAAGAAGATGCTGAAATACGAGTTTACGAAACAATCCCTGATTTTCTATATATACGGGGCTATTTTGGTAATAAAACGGGAATTAATTATTGTGTGATTTCGCGTTAAACAAATATTTGAGGAATGTTAAGGAGGAATTATTCACTGAGTATATTATGTCATTTTGATGATGTGATACACCTTTTTAAAAAATTATTGATATTTGTGCATTTTTGTTCATATCAACCCAATTTAATAAATTTCTCGTTCTTAATGTACTTTTTTTTAACTTTTACTGTTTAGTTGTGTTAATTACCATAAATACCCCATCAAATCTTCATTGTTAATTAATTTTAAACAAAAACATACTTAATAATTTATCAGAATCGTTTCTATGCTAGGAAACTTATTACCTTAAAGTTGATTCTATTTTAAGTTTTTCTTATAATAAAAAAAAAAGAGCACTGCCCTTTCTCTCTCTTTTTTTTTTTTTTTTTGAATAACTAAACCCTTTCTGTTTAATTTGGCAGGCACGTGAATTGAAAAAAAAAAAAAAATTAATACGAAAACCATATTGAGAAGCACCAACAGATTAGCAAAGAGTTATGGAGGGATTCGTCTTTTTTTTTTTTTTTTTTTTTTTTTTTTTTTTTTTTTTGCAAAATGATACTGACACTTTTTTAAGAAAAATATTGGATGACATTTTTTTTATTTTTGGGAATTAAATATGCGAATTAATTGATCTTAATATTAATATATATATATATATATTGTTTATAATCTGTTGAGAGAAATAACGTCAAACCATTTATTTTTTAATTAAATACAGAAATGATGCTATGCAGCATTTATTTTTTTTATTTTTTATTTGGCAAACAAAAGACTTTCCTTTTTTTTTTTTTTACAAGTTCTGCGACTTCCATCATTTCTTATAAGAAAATGATTTTTTTCCCCAATAACAGTCGTTTAGTAGTAAAATACTACTTAATACAAAATACAAATAGATGCCACTTATTGGGTTTTTTTTTTTTTTTTTTCATTCTACCAAATAAAAATGTTGTTAATGCTTTTTCATGTCCGACCACCTTTAGAAGGCGTTATCAGTTTTCTAAATCAATTTGAATAATTTTTTCAAGAAGTTTTCAAATTAATCAATGAAGATATTTGATTAGGGTATTAATGACTATTCTAATAAAAAAAAGTAAAAGTAAAACACATTATTAGAAAAGAGAAAGATCATTAATTAGAATTGACATAAGCAAATCAAACTACATGTTAAAAATTTATTGGATGGGCGTACCACATCATTAAAATGACGTGGTACATTTAGTGTACATGTTTAGGATAGTTCTTAGCCATGAACTTTTTTTTTTAATTGGCCATGATTTAATTCTTTTATGGAGAATGATAATCTTTTTTATCGTTCTCATTTCTTAAAAAAAATAAATAAATAAAGAAGTGAATCATTTTTATCATTTTGAAAAAAAGAAGTAAATCATGGCCAATTACTGAAAAATTGATTAACTTTAGGCTCAAAGAAAAGGAAAAAAAGTCTAATAAAAAAAAAGGGAAAGTCAATTTATGTGCTGAAGCTTTATTTATGGTCAGTTTTAATTGTTGTGATTTTGATGACGTGGAATATATATGGTAGGTTTGTAACATCATAAAGTGAATTCTGTTTCCATCAGAAATATTTGAGAGTAAATTATTTTCGTTTTAAAGAAATAAAATTTAAATTATTGGCTTAAATCCGGCAATGCTAAGATACTATGGTTCTAAAATCACATTGCTTATCATTCTCAAAAAAAAAAAAAAAAAATACATTGCTTATTAATACTATCCAAGTTGGATAGCTATTATATTCTATATCCTTTCTTTAAAAAAAAGAAAAAAAAATTAGAAAAAATGCATGTATATCTCCAAAATTTGGGATTGAGATTTTATCATGTTATTTAATAGACTAAAATACTTAAACATGAAAAAGCCATTTAAAAAAACATTTTAAATTTTATAAAATAACATATCATCACGTGATTGATTAGATAGCATTTTAAATATTAAAATTGAACCACTGATTTAATCCCGCAAACTGGGTGTATTTGGTAAGGGGATTCGTACCCTGATTCGAATCATGATTTATGGTTTGCTACAATGTTTTCTCTCACAAAAAATACACGTAAATAAAAAATAATTATAATCTCATGATTTTAATCCATGAACCAAACGTCTCCAATTTTCACAATCCTACAGATGAGTTCCATCCATCGTAATTCTCAAAAAGGTGAATAGAAAAGGATAAGTTTGGCTAGAAAATACCATTCTTAATTACAGTATATATTACAACAACCGTCTCTAACAAAACTAAAAAGGGTACTTTCAACTAAAAATAATGTCACCAGAATTTTGTGCATTATAATTTTATAATAAAAAAACTTGAAATGGAAGTCAAAGAAAGTAAGAGTGTTTTGCAAACAAGGGATTGGAAAGTAACAATCCACGGCCAAATAAAAAGATGAAAGGTCATCTCGTACGTGGCTGCTGTCCTTAATATGAACAATTATCAGTGGGGAGCTAAGGATTAGAAGACTTTTCAACAATTTTAAATAATTATTGTGATAATTTGTACCAAATAGCTCTTAAATTGTCTGTGTGTCCCGTGTGGATACTCGTGTGCGTGAGATTGAGATTTCTTTTTCAATCATGTGAAACTAAGAATTGATTATGATAAATCATACCATTTAAAAAAATTTTATGATAGGATAAAAAAAATAAACTATCAGTAATTTTTTATTTTTATCTGTTAAAACATTATGCATATTTTATTAATTTAATATATTTTTAACAAAATCTAATGACAGAAACTAACCTAGCCAATTGAGAAACCCTACCAAAAAATATCTCTTTAAAAAAAAATTGTATACCACCTTTTTATTATGTTTTCACTATTTTGCGTAATTTATAACATAAAGTGCTCTTATTTTTGCAACTTTAGCTGGGGCTTATATAGGAGAATCCATGGAAGGTCATCATTGACAAAGAAAATTTTGTATTGCAAATATGAGACTTGAGTATTTTAAAAAATACATATGAAAAGAAATGCTACGAACACCAACTCTTATTTCAATTTGTATACCAACTTATGAGACCTTATAAATTAATATATAAGTTAGAACTAAAATTGTTGATGCAGCCTTTTATTATTGATTGATGCAACCGTTTTTTAAATATCTACAAATAAAATCATGACACTTCGTAAATTGATAGCATTATTCTTACAATTATATGAGATTGTAATGGCTAGTACTCCAGTGAGCAAAATTAAGAAAATAAAAACAAAGGTTCTCATGTATTAATCCCCTTTAATTCAGTTCTATCAAAAAGTCCCCTTTCGTTTAGATTTTAGTTTGAAAAATCAACTTGGCCTTTTCTTTTTTAAAAAAGTAAATAAAATCAACTTGGAATTTAAGAAAGACAAGAGTTTACAAGTCTAAATCTCAAAGTTAAGCATGCGTTATGAAGGTGTCAATGTGGCTTGGAGTTCAATAATACATTGGGTATATATGTTTTTTTTTTTTTTTTTTTTTTTTTTTTTTTTTTTTTTTTTTTGACAATTGCATTGGTGAGTCTAAATTCAGATAGAAATCAGTGCAAAGTATTTGACCAATCGTGAGTATAAATATTTGTATACTCAGATAGAAACGAGTGCAAGATATTTGACCAATTCTGAGTATCATTTATGAAGAGAAAATGGCATGTAAAGCGTTGGATTGAAAAAAGTTGCAAAAATATTGGACCAACTGTGGGTCCAATTAACCTTTTCCTTTTCCATTTTCGTTAAATTTTGGGAAATAGATTTATGTATACTAGTCTTGTTTAGTCTTGAAAAAAAAAAAAAAAAAAAAAAAAAAAAAAACAAAGTCATCTTTCAAAATAAATAAATAATTGTCCGTACCTCCTTGCCACTATGAATGAAGATATCCATATCTATTCCTTACTTAAGTTTGTACTTTGTAGAATGCAAAAAAGAAGTTTGTACTTTGAATGAAGATCAATTACCATATAATTATTAAATAATATACTTTACTATATCTAATAATTAATTGCATTTCATCTAAAAAATACAGCGCCGGCAGTCTATACCGTTTGTTTGAAAATTATATTTTATGTTTTCTTTTTGAAATAAAAGTTCAACTCCTTACAAACATTAATGTCAAGAGAGGTACATTTTTAATTTTTTATTAGAGAGTTTTTCTAGTAGGATTAGAAAAAATAATTATCAATAATTTTTTACTTTTTAACTGTTAAATTTGTATCAGAATTGTTCTGCATGTTTTTTAATATGATGTGATCTTGACTAGATCTAATAATTAAAAATCAAGTCTTACCTGTAAGTAGGCTTACTGTAAAAACTCCTTTTTTATTATGATTTTACCTGAGATTCTATTTTCTTTTATGTATAAATAATGTATTAAGGGTGAAATACTCAAATCTCACATCGTCTAAATATAAATATAAACACAAACAAATTAAAATATTGGATTACTTCATTTAATAGATTGACAAGAAGAAACTGCATTGAATGAGTGAGAGAGATCCACAAATAATCAGATATCTTGTTAAACGATAACCCTTTTTCTAATATATTGTAAAACAGTAACATATATCATGGATTATAAGTGCATATTTTTTCCCTGCTATATAAGAACATTCACAATACAATGTCAAATGAGTTATGAATGTGCTAATTGTAAGCTTTAACATTTGAAGAAGAAAATCAATCTCTAATAAATATTGTTTCTTGTGTTAAAATTCATACCTGATACAACATATGTCAAACTTTAAGAATTTAATTGTCATGAGCTGATGTACTTACTTTTTATTTAATCATCACAACGCTATTATTTTTATATTATTTTAAAATTAAAAGTTTATTTTTTAAATTTCAAAACTTAATAATTATAACAAAAGCATAAATAGTATTATGCATAATGCATTATAATATAAATTAAACATAGCAAACATGTCATTTTAACAAATTTTTCAATGCAAGTACATGACAATCATTAATATGATATGCCAATATCAAGGTTATATTTGGCACTAAAAAGGGAGAATAATGACATATTCAATATTCTATACTTTTTGTGTTGCTATTTCAAATGCTATATATATCTTTTATCATACTTGTAAAAGTAAATTTTTAATCATAAAATAATTTTAAAATGATAAGGTTGTGATGATAAAATGAAAATATGACTACATTTACTAATAGCAATAAATGTCAAAATTTGAAACGTGTTATATATACTAAGTGCACTAAATAGCATATGTGAAATTCTAGCAAAAAAATAATATCATATTAAGAGTGATTTCCATACTCGAATCCTAAATCGTTTGGCTGATAGATTCAGAATCATGATTTAGAACCATTTTGAATTTACGTGTATTTTTTGTGAGATGAAATATTATAACGAACTACGAACCATGATTCGAATCATGACATGAATCTAGCAACCAAATAATATCAATACATAATTAATTTGACACTACACTTAAGATGCTCTAACGTTAACATTAGCATCAGCTAGGGAGTGATATAAGAATAGGATTATTTTTATATATACCCCTTGAAGTATGTATCATGTTTTAAAATGCCTTTAATCTTTTAAAATGATTTAAAATACTTCATGATATATACAAAACAGATTAAAATACCCCTTTCATCCATATCTATCTATAAAGTTAACAGATTTAATAACATGGCTTGTCATTAAAACTTTATAAAGTTATTTTAATATATATAAAGTCTAATTATTAATAGAAAAACCAATTAGCTTTAATATAAAATCACACAAAATAAAATAAAATTTAAAAACTAATAAAAGAGCAAACAAAATAAAAGTTAGCAAAAAGAAAAAAAAAAAAACGGGCTCACGAGCGTGTCGCGCGGGAGGGGGGGGCTTGCGCCGCCCCCCACAGCGTCGTGACCCTCGAATAATAGTAGGAGACAACGAACCACACGCGCCGCCGCCCTCGCGAATCCAACCTGGCAGCGTCATGGGCTCGCCCCCTTCGTCGCGACCCTGGCCAAGCCGCCTCACACGCCCACCGCCTCCCTCGCGAACAACCGTTCCGATCAAAAACAAAAAACAACCACAATAGTCCGATCTGTATAGTCCAAAACACACACACACACATATACCATCATATATCGCGTTATAACTTGAGGATGAATCTTGTCTCCATCTTGTCTTCTAGTCAATAAAAACCCAAACTTGCTCTCCTTTCTCACACAAACAGGGAGCATCCTCTTGTTCCTCCATCCAGACCAGTGTATTCATGTAGAGAAAAAAGAAAGAGCAACATTCAAGCAATAACGAAATTGATAAATGTGAATGAAAAGAAGTTGAGTGAAAAAAATTTTAACGAACCCAACGAAAAAATTTTAACAAATTTGTTAGGTTTATAATATATTAAGAGGACCATTTCTTTAAAAAAAAAAAAAAAAACAGCGAAAATTCGAGTTGATGGTCTATGACTAGTGTCACAAAACCGTTTATTTTATTTTTATTTTTATTTTTGCTCTGAAGTGTAACAAAACTTGAAACGCGTTAATCAAAACCATGATCAATAATATAAAATGAAATGCACGATAAAAAATAAAATAAAAAAAATAAAAAAAACTCAAGAAAAGGACTAAAGTTAGTGGCATGTCTCATTTCTCTAGTTTCAGATCTGGATAGTAATAGTATTCTTCTTCTTCGTCTTTTTTTTTTTTTTTAATGAGAAAATATTCTTCTTCTTGGTTTAGTTAAAAAGATAATTATTATTGGTGCTTATTGAATTTTCGGGTCATTTATGATTTGTCTTTTAAATTTTAAAAACTCTCATTTTATTTTTTAAATTTTAAATTGTTCCCACATAACTTTTTTTTGTTATAATTTTTATTAAAAAATAAAAAAGAGAATAATATAATCACGTGATCTTTTTATTTAAATTTTTATTGAAAATAAATAGATGAAAATCACATGACCACACTTTCCTTATGATTTTAATAGAAATTCTTACAAAAGTGTTTAAATTGGACAAATTCAAAATCTAAGAGTAAAATGAGAGTTTTTAAATTTTAAAAGACAAACTGAAAATGATCTTAAAATTCAAGAGATTGATAAGAATAATCCTAGTTAAAAATAACCCCGAAATAGAAAGGAAACAAGTAATTAATCCAAAAATGAGAAAATGAATCCGGGAAGTAAAAAAATCCATTAATCTAACTCTTGTGATTGATTTATCAGTTTCTGTCTTTTATTGGTTTGTTTGTAATTGACATAAACAGTTGGATAATGTCATACTGATTGCCCCAATCAATTTTCACAGTATAGTTATAATATAATTAAAAGAATAATTTTTTGATGGGATATAAAAACAATAATTTACAGATTCAAGGTAGCTTTAAATTATTGGATTACATCAAAATTATATTAAACTAAGATCAATTAACAGCAGCAGACATTTTATTTATTTGGACTATTCTTATTTGGGATTCTTTGAATTTTAAGATCACTCATACTCCCTTCTAAGATTTTTAAAAACTCTCATTTTATCATCTAAATTTTAAATTTGCTTCATTTTATCATTTTTCATCGAATTTCTGTTAAAATCATACAAGAAAAAAGAATAATGAGGTCACGTGATCTTCTAATTAAAATTTATATTAAAAATGAATGAAAAAGACCACATAATCACACTTAACTCTCTTTCATTTCAATCTATTTTTAACAAAAATGCTAATAAAAAAGGTTAAGTGAGATTAATTCAAAACTGAGGTGGTAAAGAAGGAGTTTTAAAAATTTGAGAAATAAATTTTTTTTGAGAAATAAAACTTAATACGACCTTAAATTCAAAGACACAAGTAAGATCAAAAAACTTTATCTGGTGTTCTTTCTTTTTTAAAAATACTGGTGTTCTTTGCTTATCAGCCGTCAGATATGTATTAAATTTGGTCAAAAGTCAAATCAAATTGAAAAAATATTACACCCAATAAACAGAGAATACCAGTGTTTTCAAAAAAAGAGAGAACACCAGATAAATTTTCTAAGATTAATCTTATTTATTTTTAATCCTATTAAGTTTTTTTTTTTTTTTTTTTTTGCTGAAAAATTCTCTAGTTTTTTTTTGCTAGTAAAAAAATTCTCAATTAATAAAAAAAGATGAATTAACTCAGCAATTAATTAGGTTGCGTTTGGTATGAGGGTTCTATAACTGGAATTATGATTCTAGTTTAAATCTTTGTTTGTTTACAAAAAGTAAAAAATAGTTTTTAAAAATCAGTGTTTGGTTTAGATGGTTCTAATTCAAGATTTGAATCATGATGTGATGTTTTAAACTAAAACCACATCTCACTTAATTTTAGATGGTTCAAATCTCTGGTTCTGATTTTAATTCAAGAATTATACTTTAGATCTTAAGTTCAAATCATAAATCATAGTTCTTGTTCTAAAACAAAACTATCCTAATTTAAATCTCATACCAAACACAACTTTAGCTGTAAAATCCGACATATTTCCCTCCAACAGATGTTACAGGTAAAACTTTTACGAAAAATGCACCACTCTCCAACCGTCTCTCTCTCTCTTTTCCTTTTTTTATTTGGCTTTTTTTTTAATTTTTCCTAAAAAATATATTTTGTCCAAAATTTCTCTCGGTTTCTTTTTCTCTCCTCTCCGTATCCTGAATTCTCTTTTCTCTCTCATCAAGCCACATTGCGAAAATCGAGAGATGGAAAAAAGAAAAAAGACACACGAAGAGCGAAGCGAGAAAAATTTTAACGAAATAATACAAAAAAATTAGAAAGAAAAGAAAATCTAGGGTTTCCAAATCCTCTCCATTCTCTCTCTATCTCTCTCTCTTCGCCTTTGATTTTCCTTCCCTCCAAACACCCGCCAAAGTTTGTTCTTCCTTTTTTTTTCCCCAGAAAAAGCAGAGGGAAAACTTTACCAGCTACGTTTTGGTTGGCCTATTGCTTGTGGTTTCTTTTTCTTTTTCAGTTTTATTTTTCCTCTTTTCTTCTTTTTTTTTTTTTCCTTCTTCTTCGGATCCTGAGTTTTTTCGGGAGAGTAGTGTTTTTCCCGGGAAAACTTCCTCTTCCAATCCCAGCTGTCGACGACCTTTTTCTTTTTCTTGTTTTTGGACCACGTTCAAGGTAAGAAAAATTTCTCTTTCATGGCTCTGTCTATTTTTAATATCTTCTCAGACAATTTTTTCTCTGAAAGATTCATCATTTTCGCTTTAGAGGACTCTTCCTGAATCAATTTTGGTGAGAAATGATTTTTCTGCGATTTTATTGTGCTTTAATTTCTTCATATGAGGGAAAATGTATCCTCTGTGTTTATTCCGCCATAAACAAGAAGTTTGTTCCTTGTTTCTTTTTCTGTTATTGCGATTAAGATTGCTAACTTTTGTTCCTTTTTTGTTTAGGAGTTTTACATGTGATTTCTTCTGAGAGGAACAATAATTGGTTGGTGGGAGTGAAGAAAGGGAGGGAAAACGTAGTATTAAGGCTTCATATTTTCTGGGAAAGAGATTTGGAGCTCCAATATAATATTTTCTTTTATGTTTTGGATTGTTAATAGTTTCCTGTGGTCAAAATTGGTGTCCTTTGATCTCGAGTTGTTTGAATTTGAATGATCATTGGTTTATGGAGTTGGAAGCGCTTCCATCTTCTAGGGATTTGGTGAAATGTTGTAACTGCAGCTGTAGTTGTTCATCAATAAGTGGTACTTCGGGATCGTGGTTTAGGTCCGTGAAGCGAAAATACGATGAGTTTGAGGATGAGAATCGGTTCTCCATTCCTGGGTTTGAGAATTTTTCGGTTGCTCGAGTTGAATTGGAGAATGAATGTGTTGCATTGCGGGAGATGGTTGGTAACCAGCAGCAAACAATACAGGATTTGTACACCGAATTGGAAGAGGAGAGAAATGCTGCCTCATCGGCCGCGAATGAGGCCATGTCTATGATACTGAGGTTGCAGAGGGAGAAGGCAGAAATCCAAATGGAGGCCCGACAATTCAAGCGCTTTGCAGAGGAGAAGATGGAGCACGACCAGCAAGAGCTTATGGCCTTAGAAGATTTGTTGTATAAGAGAGAGCAGGTGATTCAAGCGCTCACGTGTGAAGTGCAGGCATATAAGCATAGGATGCTGAGTTATGGACTCACTGAGGCAGAGGCTGAGGGCGAGAAGGGTATGTATAGCCATAACAGCATCATGTTGGACTTTGAAGCTCAGCATGAAATTCCAGCATTTGAATACCCATCTTTGAAGTGCAGTCTCAATGAGAACCAGGGCGCTTTTGAGGGCGACGATGACGATGTTGCAGATGTTGAGAAATATGCATTCGGTGAGACACCTCGTGGTAGAGATCACTTGAAGAATTTGGAGCATAGGATTTACCAGATGGAGAGATCTCCAAGCAACAGTCAACTTGATGGAGAATTTTCAGGTTCCAAAAGTATTTTAGAGAAGGTGATAGTTGGCCACTCTCCTAGGCGCTCAATGCATTCTAGGAAATATTCTAGTGATTCGCCGTCATTTAGGGCAATGGCCAGAGAAACTGGCACAGAAATCAACGGCGAATCTCCTAGGTTCAACATTAGTTTCAAGAAGACTGATTACGTTTCACAATCGGAGGAGTCCAACATGAGGAAGGTAGATAATACATCAGAAGTTGGAGATGACATGAGCGACAGGGTTTATACCATTGACTCTGTCCATAATGGGGTGCCTGACAGTGGTTATGTGGAGCTTAAAGCCGGGGTTGGGATCGGTGAGGATAACATAACCACTCCTAGAGGGCTAATGAATCAAGGTGATGTTGCGGATCCAGAAATCAAGAAGCTCTATATGAGACTTCAGGCACTTGAGGCTGACAGGGAATCAATGAGGCAGGCAATTGTTTCAATGCGAACGGATAAAGCGCAGCTTGTATTGTTGAAAGAAATAGCGCAACAGTTGTGTAAGGATATGTCACCAGAAAGACAAATTGCAGTGAGGAAGCCATCCCTTCTTGGAAGCTTTTCCTTTCTTTCAGTCTTTAAGGTAATTTATATATACAGAAATGTGGTTTATCCATTAGTTTTTATGGCCAATAATTTCATCCTCTTCAATCACTTCCTAATAAAAACGAGATAGATAGTGTATTATTACCACGTCGTTTTTTTTCATCTTTTCTTTTGAGCTCTGGAAATTTGTACTTTACGCCATTACATGATTAATTGACTATGGTTTATTTTAGTTTTCTGTATCCAGGTTTTCTTGATGCCGTAGTGGTTGCATTTATTTTTTCTATGCATATCATGAACGTTTTAAAAATACTTTTTCCACTTTGCTAGCGCTACTATTCAGCAGTCTTTTGTCAAAATGGGCCTGCTTTACTCTCTCTCTCTCTCTTTTGAAAACTTATTCCTTATTTTATTTTGATTATTTATCATCATGTTTGAATAGTACTTAAGCGGGAAACCTTTTTAATCTTTTTTCTTAACTGACTGCTTTCTCGTTGATCTTTGGTCTTCAGTGGGTCATGTCATTTGTTTTCTGGAGAAGGAAAGCTCGTCGAAGCAAGTAAGTATCTTATAAGTAGTGACACAATAGCTAGACAGTTGGCCTTTATGTTACAATTTCCATAAATAATTCATTTCGATGTTTTTTTTCCCCCCTTTCCTTGGTCTTGTTTTTCTCCCTTTACACAGGTTACATCAGTGATGTCCTTGAATATGTTAATGAACAGTGATTTAGCTCTGTAATAAAACAGTATCACGTAGTGGAGAGCAGAAAAATGCTTAAAACGGAAATGGATAACTCAGTTTGAATAGGTGACAAGTGCTTTTCCATGGAAAGTAGCAATACTGTTGGTTTTTTTTTTTTTTTTTTTTTTTTTTTTTTTTTTTTTTGTTTTTGCTAAACGAGGATATTTCAGCATTTAAAGTCGTATAGAGGATACCCTTGAGCAATTGATTAGTTATTTGTTATATATGAGTTTTTATTTTTACTTTTTCTTGGAATGGTACATGAAAATGGGTCCTTTTAATACTATTTAGCAGACATTTAGAACATCAATTGCACTTTGTCTTTGAGTAGGCATCTTATCCTTTGTTGCATTCCTGTTCTGTTCGTAATACAATTGCAGATACTTGTTTGGGATATCAGCCAATAGTGTGGGTTTGCTGATGCTTCTGGACAAGGGGCCTCGGACGAGGCATTGGAGGTGTCTTACGAGTACTCAAGTGTGAGGCGTTCGAAGCCTACGCTGAAGTACGCGATGTCGTTTGGATTCCAATCACGCTGCTGCAGATTTTTCAATTCTTTTTTCTTTTTTTCTTGGGATTGTTTGTTGCCTGAACTACGAGTGCTTTGTGCAAAAGTTCTTTGGTCTGATTGATGGGTTTGAATGAATGTATGTTGTCGCCGGTTGACCTGTAAATCATGGTTGCGGATTTAGTGGGCATGCTGTTTCCACATATAGGTTGATGGAATTCATCAACTCAAAGGTATAGATCTCCTGTACATTACGAAATTTCTTGTATGATTGAATGAATGAATTCCCTTTCAAATATGCAATGCCTATTCTTTTTCTCTTCTATCCCTCTAACTGTGTAAACGAGTAAACGACCATTTTCATTGTTGGTTGTGTATTGTCATTGGTTGACTACGACCAATTCGGTATGAGAGCAACAACGTTTGTGGCACGTTGCGTTTAACCAGTCATACATGTATTCCTATCTCTCTTTTTTTCTCTTTTTTTTATTTTTTTTTATTTTGGCTTTTTTTCCCCTTAAAATATCCCTGTAAGCATGCAGTCCTATTTTTGGCCTTTTTTTTTTTAATGAATATTCCTATTTTTGGGCTTGAAACATGACAAATCATCACATAACCTCATCATTCGTATCGTATCTTCCGCTAATAGATATTCGGAAGGATTCAGGAAGTACTTGTACCACAACCTCAGACCTCTATTTGGCGCTTTCTGTATGAACAGAAGAATGTATTGTACCTCTTTTATCTGAATTTTTTTTTTAAAAAAATGTTCGAAACCTGCCAAACTATGGAGGAGTTAAGAAACTTCTGAGTTTCTGGCGTTATTCCAAGGACGTAGGAGATTAGAGAAGAAATTTTCATTCACTAAACAGATAAATAAAAGAGAAGAAACATTCGACAAGTTTTGGATAAAAGAGCATTGTTACAGTGTCACTAGACAAAAGAGTAAAGAAAAAAAAATAAGTCGGACACTGTTCCATTATGTGCAACTATTACCATCAAGTATATAGTGGTTTTTATCGGTATTGTCATATTAAATTTTGTAAAAAAGCGGCAGGATTTGGATTTGTTGACACTAGACATCATCTTCATCTTGATGAGTTGCAATAAGGAACACACCAATGCATCACCTACTTTAATAGACATTATTTTATATTGTGTTATAAAATAATGAGTTTCAAAATAGGTGATGCATTGGTGTTAGGGTGAACTGTTCATCCCTTATGAGAAAGGTATATAGTTTGTCATAATTTTGTGTAAGTCTTGTTTGCGATAAAAAAAATGAATCACAAATGGACCTTAAAAAAAATGAAAGGAGAAAATAAAATCTCGTGCTGACCCAACTTTATGCTGGCCAAAAATAAATAAATAAATAAAAGTAAAATATAAAAAAAAGGGAGAGAAAGAACCACGTTTTAAAACGTGAAGTTAAAACGTGAAGTAATGGTAAAAAGGGCAGAACGTGACAAAATGGGTGCAGAACGTGACAAAAAAATGGGTACGAAACGTGATAAAAAATGAGTGCAGAAAGTGAAGTAGTGGGTAAAAAAACTGTTACAGAATACTCTTATATAAAGAAAGAAGCGAGAGAGCTTCTCAACAAAAAAAAAAAGACTTGGTGCGTGTATATAGAAGAGAAAAAAAACCGTGTGTGCAGTGAAGTATGTGCAGAAAAGTGAAAGGAAGAAAGAAATATATATATATATATTTATATATATATATAGAAAGGCGCAGAAGGCTGCAGAGAAACGTGAGAAAAGAAAGAAAGGTGCAGGTGTGTGGAAACGTGAGAAGAAAAAAAAATCAAAAAGTGTGTGTGTGCGAGTGATAAACAAGAAGGTAAATACACATTTTGGTGTTCTTTTACACTAATAATTTTAATTTTTTAGTTACAGTACATTTAAATTAAGTCTTATATATATTTTAAAATGTGTGATTGTAATTTATTTCTTGACACTCTTTACGAAGATAAGTCTTATATACACCTTACGATGTGAGATTTTTTTATTTGTAGCTCTTAATAAATTCCTAATGCACTTATGGTGTGTAGTTTCTCGTTCTTATCATGATCCTATGATTATCACTAAGACTTGAATTTTTTTTTAGAGATCTATATAAGTTAAATGTGATTTTAAAAAATCAAAGATTAAAAGTTTCTCAAATTATTTATTACGATTGTTTTGAGTGTAATTCAAGTGGCAAATTCATATGAATTACACTTTAAAAATTAACATATGAAAAATTATGTGCATATAATTTATATGCAAATATTTATATAAATCACACTGTACCAATCAAAGAAAGAAAATTAAAAAAAAAATTGAGAGCAAGCAACCGTCGCTTGTATCTCTTTCTCAATACATTTACAAATATATATATATATATACACACATACATATATGAACCATTTGTTGCTTCTAGCAAGTACAAGCGTCACAGCACGCATTAAACCATTTGCTGCTTCTAACAAGTACAAGCCTTTAAACCATTTGCTGCTTCTAACAAGTACAAGCCTTTAAACCATTTGCTGCTTCTAACAAGTACAAGCCTTCTTTATATATATATAATGAAAAAGAAATGTGTAGAATGGATGAGGATGAAGGAGATTTGAGTTTCCTTTGAAATCAAACCGTTAGCACAAAAAAAAGGGATATACATCATACAAAGTATTTAATGTCTCAGTTTTAAGACATCATGTTAAGGCACATTTTAAGATCAAAAAATAACAAAGCTGACGCATTAATTAATCTCGCAGCATCCTTGATTTTACTAGATGAAAAGGGAATGCAGATAACTGTTGGCGAACGACGTCTGCTACCACCAGTAGTCAAAAGAACACAAGAGGAAGAAACGGCAAATGTAGTCACTTTCAGTGAAAATGCAGAGGATGCAGATTGGTGTCAACCATTGATTGATTACTTCTAACATGGGGCATTATCAGACAATCCAAAGAAAAAAATAGAAGTACGAAGAAGGTTTCTTCAATTTGTCTTCATAAATGACACTTTGTACAGACGATCTTTTGATGGACTATTATTGAGGTGTTTATCAAAAGATGAGGCATCACATGCTCTTCAAGAAACACATGCCGGAACATGCGGAGCTCATCAATCCGGCCCTAAACTTGCAGCACAAATTAAAAGATTGGGTTATTATTGGCCCACCATGGTGCAAGATTCGATTAATTTTGCTAAGCATTGCAAGTTATGCCAGCTTCATGGAGATTTCATCCATCAACCTCCATTGCCTCTTCATCCATCAATCATGTCATGGCCATTTGATACTCATGGTTTAGATGTAATTGGACCTTTCACGCCAGCATCTTCAAGGGGTCATAAGTATATTTTGGCTGAGACAGACTATTTTTTAAAATGAGATGAAGCAGTACCTTTAAAAGAAGTAAAAGCAGAAGATGTCACAAACTTCATAAAGAATCATATAATCTATCGTTATGGAGTGCCATCAAAGATCATCTCCGACAACGCTCTTTATTTCAGATGCCAAGCAATGACGAAGTTGATGGAAAAATACAAATTCTGACATGGATTCTCAACAAGTTATAATCCGTCTTCAAATGGCCAAGCAAAAGCCTTTTACAAAGTCCTTTGTAAAATCCTAAAGAAAATGGTGTCAAAGAACAGGAGAGATTGGCATGAACGCCTCCCAGAAGCCCTATGGGCTTATAGAACCACAGTGCGAACTGCAACGGGTTGTACACCATACAGTTTGGTTTTTGACTCTGAGGTCGTACTCCTATTAGAAGTGCAATTACCGTCTCTCAGAATTGCTACTCAATTGATGGCACCGGATGAAAATGTCCAAGTGAGACTAGCTAAGCTTGAAGCATTAAATGAGAAAAGGCTCGCAGTACAACAAAAGCTCAAAATTTACCAAGCCTAAGTGGCAGGGGCCTTTAACAAAAAGGTCAAATTTAGATCCTTCACGATCGGATAGTTGGTCCTTACAATCAGAAGACCAATCGTTATAACGAGAAGGATGCAAGGTAAATTTGAAGCAAAATGGGAAGGACCATACATCATCACTAAGGTCTTTCCAAAAGGGGCATATGAACTTTCCGATTCAGAGGGTCACTGCATTTACCCATGTGTAAATGGAAAGTTTGTCAAGAAATTATATGCCAAAATAAGGAGGTACGCCTCCTAACGCATAATCCGCAGAAGAAAGATAATAACGGAAGCAAATAAATAAAGCAATGAACTACGAATGGCTCGATCCCCCAAATGGGTACGTAAGCAATTCGGTAATAAACTGGATGCAGCCCCAAAATAAAAAAAACATGTGTTCCCCATAGAACTACGGAAGGCTTGATTCCTGTAAAAAGGATACGTAGGCAATCTAGTAATAAATTGGATGCAGCCTCAAAATAAAAAAAAAAATCCATTTCGTTCTATTAGAATGAAATAAAATTGATCAAATATGTTTTATTTCTAAATTAACGTAAAATCCAAAGTAGAGAAAATAAATCCTGATGAAAGTGACATAAAGAAAAACGTCTAAACAAAAGAAAGGAAGACAAGTCATGCAGCTCTTCTGAGATTCCTCCCTTCCAGACTGAATTTCAGCCTCAACTCTCTCAATTTCAAAGTATCGATCTACTCTCACTGCGGCTTTCAAAATCTAGAGCTCTGTACTAAATTTCCACAGTTCTTCTAGAGAAGTCTTCAACTGTTGGATGCGTGCCTCAACAACCTTCAACCTATCTTCATAAGCCTGATGTAACTGTTGCGCCACTAGTAGTAGTTTTTGTGCCTCCAATTCAGCTTTGATAACTTCTTCTTCAGTGGCATTTTCTCTAATCACAAGTGATTCAGCATCAGATACTTAGATTGAAAGCGACTTCAAAGTAGAAAGGTATTCTTCATCACGATGAAGCAGATCTTTAATCTCAACGCTGCATAAAGCTGCCTTTTCTTCTAAAAATGACGGAGCATTAGCCAGCTTCTGTTCTGAGTTGAAAAAATCATCCAGGGTATCTTTGAGCCAATTAAGCGCCCGATCATCTAACCATTTCTAGGCACAAATGAAACCAATTGTATCGAGATACTCAAACACTTAAGAGCGATAAGTCAAAGTCTCTCAGGGTGATTGCGAACTGAAGATCCAAGTAAAGATTTGCTGTAGCATACCAAGCATGAAATCCTTGTTTAACTTATCTATATCAGCTCTAATGAGACATGAGATTGACATAGACGGTTCTCGAGAGGTTGATGGAGCAGCTGACTCTGGAAATGGTTGTTTGATATTCAATTATTGAGAAGCAAATGCACGACGGACTCTTGACAAGATTGAATGGCAGTCGGATCTTGAGGCAACATTGTGATTACTGGA